AGCTCTGGAATGTTGTGATCAATGGCTGGAATACCAGAAATCTAGATAGGTAGAAACTTAGAGCCACCTGATTCTGAAATTCACTGGAACAGTCAAATGCTAGAATCTTCGATGCCAAGAGCTGCAGAACAGTAGTCACATTGAGTTCTAGAATCTCGGATGTACAGAAACCTTGGAACCACCAGCTTCTGGAGACCTAGAAACCCAGAATTGTAGAACTCAAGTCCCTGTAAAACCTTCGTCATCAAGTAGTCATAGTAATCTAGAACCAGAGGACCAGAGATGTGGGTTGAGTTCTAGAAAATTGGACATTGAACTCTGGGGGAGGGGGTATCTTAGAAATCTAGAACATAGAACCTTAGAAAAATGGGTTTTTACCACATTCTAGAACCTCTGGTGTACAGCACCCTAACCTCACACTGATCACACTCTAGCAGTGGTTCTCAACCTTCCTAAGGCCGCGACCCTTTCATACAGTTCCTCATGTTGTGGTGACCCCCAACCATACAATTATTTTCATGGCTACTTCATCACTGTAATGCTACTGTTATGAATCGTCATGTAAATATCTGATATGCAGGATGTATTCTCATTGTTCGCGACCCACAGGTTGAGAACAGCTGCAGAGCAATGGTTCTCAACCAAGAACAGTTCTGCCCGCCCCCTCCCCCCAGGGAGGTTGGGAGACACTTTGTTTATCACACAGGGATGGTGCAACCGTTAATCTAGTGGGGAGGAGTCGGGGTGCTGCTAAACCTCCTGTGATACACCGCACAGCCCCCCACAACAAGAAACTAGCCAGCCCCAAATGTTCATAGTGCCGAAGGCTGAGAAACCCTGCCCTCGAGTGTTCAAAGTCTAGAATCACAAGATGTTAGATCCTGCTACATTCCAGAATTTTACAAGTCTAAGGTAATGGATATTTATACATTGTTTGAACCTTGAATGCCTAGAGCCACAGCATTTTGTCTGCACACACACACACACACACACCCCGGTTTACTCTCGTCTCTCCATAGTTGGAGAAACTTGCTCAAAATGGGGCCAGCCATGGAAGGGCCAGCCAGTTTCCTGCCCCCACGGCAAGAGTAGAGACTCTTTTGAGACTGGTGGTTGGGGTCAAACTCAACCCTTCCAGGTGACCTCTCTTCCCTCGCCCTCCCACCTCCTTATCCTCTGTCCTCCTCTCAGACTGCAAGTTTAACTGCCACAAACGCTGCGCCACCCGCGTCCCCAACGACTGCCTGGGAGAGGCGCTCATCAATGGAGGTAAGAGGCTGTGGGCTGAGCCAGCGGGAGCTGGGGGCCCGGCTGGGTGGAGGTCCCTCTGACGCCCTGTCCCCCCCAGATGTGCCGATGGAGGAGGCCACCGATTTCAGCGAGGCTGACAAGAGCGCCCTGATGGATGAGTCCGACGACTCCGGGATCATCCCAGGCTCCCACTCGGAAAATGCCCTCCACGCCAGTGAGGAGGAGGAGGCCGAGGGAGGCAAGGCCCAGAGGTACCCGGGGCACCCCACTGGGATGCCCTTCCCCGTCCCTACAATGGGTTACCCTCACCCCCTACTTGAACATGACCCAGGTTCCTGAGGCAAATCTTCTCAAGGACCCACACTTCATTTTCCAACTGAACACTTTTTCCTGGTTTACATTTAAAAAAAATATTACTTACTTTTAAAAAATATATCTTTATTGATTTCAGAGAGGAAGGGAGAGGGAGAGAGAGATAGAAACATCAATGATGCGAGAGAATCATCGATCGGCTGCCTCCCTCACACCCCACACTGGGGATCCAGCCCACAACCGGAGCATGCGCCCTGACTGGGAATCTAACCATGACCTCCTGGTTCATAGGTCGACGCTCCACCACTGGGCCACGCTGGCTGGGCCTGACTTACATTTTTAAAAAGTTTTCATGGAAGCATGTTTTTTGTTAAAAAATATATTTTATTGATTTTTTACAGAGAGGAAGGGAGAGGGAGAGAGAGTTGGAAACATCGATGAGAGAGAAATATCGATCAGCTGCCTCCTGCACACCCCCTCCTGGGGATGTGCCCACAACCAAGGTACATACCCAGAGAGAGATAGAAACATTCAATGATGAGAGGGAACCATGACCGGCTGCCTCTTGCACGCCCTCGACTGGGGATGGAGCCCCCAACTCGGGCATGTGCCCCTGACCGGAATCGAACCCGGGACCCCTGAGTCCGCAGGCCAACGCTCTATCCACTGAGCCAAACTGGCCAGGGCGGAAGCATGTTTTAATTTACGTTATATTTGTTTGGAACTGGTGACACAGCCATTGAAATCCTCCCACTCCCTGCCTCCCGGCTGCCCCGCTCCTCCCCCTGGAGGTGCCAGTGGGGTAGTTTCTGGTGGGCCCTTCCGGAAACAATCCGTATTACAAACTGGCAGCGCAGTGTGAGGAAGAACATGAACTCTGCAGCCAGACTGCTGTGAGGCCTTGGGCAAGAGATTAACCTCTCTGAGCCTCAGTGTCCGCATCAGAGAGGATGAGTCCCTTGCCCAGGGACACACACCTGGCTGCCAGACCCCTGGGCTCAGTAGTAATTAGCACTTCAAGGCCCACCGTGTGCCAAGCACTGTGCTCAGCTCCTTAGGAAGGTTTTCACTCCTCAGCACCCCTTTGGGTGGAGACATTAAGGCATGAAGAGCTGGGTAATGTACCAGGCAGCCTGCTTATTTGGGAATGCAGACTTTCAGTGAGAGCCTCCTTCCTCATATGGGAAATCTACAAAACAGGGGGGAAAGTGTGCCCTCCCCCCAAAACCGCGCCCAAGCTGCCCGGAGATGCCCCTTCGGTTATTTTCTTCTTGTAGTAACCTCCCGCCCCTTCTCCTCCCCCCTCAGCTCCCTAGGGTACATCCCCCTGATGAGGGTGGTGCAGTCAGTGCGACACACGACTCGGAAATCCAGCAGCACGCTGCACGAGGGCTGGGTGGTTCATTACAGCAACAAGGACACGCTGGTGAGTGGGCGGGGCAGGGGTAAGAGGGCGGAGCCAGAGCTGGAGGCGGGGCCGGGAGGGTAGGCCGGGCTGTGCTAGAATTAGAGGTGGGACAGGGGCGGGGCAGGAGCCAGGGGGCGTGGCTAAGGCGGAGTTCAGGGGCGGGGTCGACTTAGGGGCGGGGTTTGGCTGGTGGAAGGTAGGATCCCTAGCGACACCCTCACCTCTCAAACCCCTCTCCCTACAGAGGAAGCGGCACTATTGGCGCCTGGACAGCAAGTGCATCACACTCTTCCAGAACAACACGACCAACAGATACTACAAGGTGGGCCAGAATTCAGAGATTATGTACCTACAAGGAGCAAGGAGCTTCGGGCCGGGCATGTGCTAAGCTCCCCGTAATTATGAACTTGTTATCATTATTACATTATATTTAATTTATTGAATTATTTATATTCATCACCACAGGCCCTGTCAACTTCCTTCTCGATCTCCTGTCTCATTCCATTTCTCTCCCATCCAGTCTTTTTAAAATGTATTTGTTATTTTTTTATTTATTGATTTGAGAGAGAGAGAAACATCAGTTTGTTGTTCACTTACTTATGCATTCACTGGATGCT